ACACTAGGTATTTCATATGGTAGGCTTGCTCGATTACATTCTTAACTCTTGGAGCAAACCTACATGGTGTTAAAATTGCTTAGAAGCACGACACATAGCTTGTCTTACTTTTGTTTATCTAATATGTGCCAAAGTCCAACATTGTAGATAATTTCTTCTGAATATCTATTTTGAAAATGATTCTCACATTCATGAGATGTCATCTTTTAAGTGGTATTTTTTATTCTAAAATCAATGTGCATGACTTCTACAAAGTATTCTACTTTTGTGTGCACATATTTAGAGGGAGTAATTCTACAACTTGGATGCTTTGAGACTAATCTTTTTTCAAATGGTATCAATTTTTCAAACCTATCACATGTGTAGTAGTCTCATGGTAAGGAAATTGTAGTCCCCGGAGTTAAGCATCATTCTTCAATTGGCATCATCATGTTGATTTCATTTAATATTTATATGCTTTCTCCATGCATTATATAGATTAAACTCTCTTGTGCAATAAATTGCTAATTATGCATATGCTATGCTTTCTACCATATGTATGCATATATTTAGGGGGAGCTTAGTCTATATAATGTGAGAGTCAAATTTTGTGATCCATTTCATTCTATACACAAAGGATCACGAAATTTGATCCTCCCTTGTGCTACTAATGTCTTCCTTTTCGCTGTTTGATGCCAAAGGGGGGAGAATTTGAAGGACCAAAGGCAAGCATCAAGTTGATGTCTACAAGTGGTAATGGTCCAAAGGGAGGAAAGTGGATTATGGATTATACTAAGTAATGGTAAAATTTGTAGGAATCCATAATGACACATAGGGACTTTTGTAAGGGCAAGATGGTCTTCAATTGGTATCTAAGTAGGATTTTCTAGCATCATATAACCTTGCCCTTTGCATTGCATCCTAGCAAGTAGGTAGTTTTTTTAACTTCCAAAATTCTTATTATTTGCTTGCTTTGGTCGTGTTGGCATCAATCACCAAAAAGGGGGAGATTGTAAGGAAAATGGACCCTTTGCCCATTTACTTTGGATTTTGGTGTTTGATGACCAACACAACCAAATTGGACTAATGAATTTGCAAGTGTTTGTTTTGTAGTCCAACAGGGTGCAAGACGTGACTTGGACGAAGGCGACGTGATGATCCGATGATCAACACCTTAAGCAAGACCTTAGGAGCACAAGAAAAGACCCAAGATATCAAGCAAAGTCCAAGCATGAAGATAGGAACCAAGCCGTTGGTAAGATCACGAAGAAACGAGCTTGCAGATGCGACCGGACGCAAGGACCGGACGCTGGACCGGTGGCTCGGCAGACAGGCGACCGGACGCAAGGACCGGACGCTGGCGGCAACCGACCGGACGCAGGAACACATCGTCCGATCGATTACAGTAAGGTTCCAAGCGGCACATCTGCGACCGGACACGTCCGGTGGCAGGCGACCAGACGCTAGCCAGCGTCCGATCAGTGTTTTGCCGGCTCAACGGTCGAGACGACCGGACGCGTCCGGTTAGGACGATTCAGCCTCCGGTCAGTAGCAGGTTCGCTGGAATTCGACTCGAACGGCTACTTTCTCCGTGGGGCTTATAAATACAACCCCCAACCGGCCATTTGAAGTGTGTGGAGCTGAGGAAACATACCAAGGGTGTTAATATACCATTTTAGTGATCTCCACATGCATAGTGCTTAGTGTTTTATTAGGTGATTAGCATAAGTGCTTTGCGAAGTGCTTAGGTTGATTAGACCACCGCTTATGCGCTTGCTCTAGGTGTATGCCTAGTGTTTATTGAGGTTTGCATACCTCTTGCCACCCCGTGCTTGCGAGCACAAGTGTTGTTCATCGGAGGGGCTTGAAGTCTTACGAGATCACACCAACCGCGTTTGTGGTGTGGCCGCCACCGTGTACCGGAGGGAACAAGGTACGCGGCGTTTCGGCCGGAAGCTTGATAGTGAAGACGGCGGGGAGCATCCAGGAGAGGCTTGCCGAGAGGCACGTCGGAGACCCACTTGCGCGTGGGGAAGGCCCGAGGCTATCCACGGAGTTACCCAACCGGGAGCTTGGCCCTTGCGAGGGATTCCTTGCGAGGGGCTCCAACGAGGACTAGGGGGAGGCTTGCGCGCTTCTCGATACCTCGGTAAAAATACCGGAGTCGTCGACGGGAGTTTGTATATCTCTACCTTGCTCTTTAGCTTCCGTATTTACATTGATTACCTTACTACGTTTGCGGTAGAGATAGCAACACACTAGCAAAACCATAGTTGCACATCTAGATAGTTTATCTATTGCATAGGTTTTGCTAGGGTTAGAAAAAGAGGCCATAGTTTAGAGTTAGAATTTTAAGTTGCCTAATTCAACCCCCCCCCTTCTTAGGCGTCACGGTCCTTTCACCTCTAATCCCGATCGACGCCGAGAATATAACTTTGGAATCTGTTAAGCATCCAGAACCTGACAGGCGGGTAGAGCCAGAGGATGCCAAGGCCTGCTAGAGCCCTCTTCCCTCATTACCACAAGGCCGTGTTGGTCACTCCTAGCACGAGGTCACTCCCGGGGCTGGTGCAATGCAACAAGGGTCGTCGCGCGCCCGCTACACGGATGAGACTGACCTTGCATGACATCCTCCTTCTACATGCGGGTGGGATCCTGGCATGCGATGGAAGCCACAAGAAGGCGAACAACCCGTGGAAGGCACAATGGTAGCAGACAACACTTGATGGTCAGAGTCAATTTGGCATTGTCAGCCCCCGCTAGAAGATGAGGGACGGCGCCTAGCGTCACAAGCAACTGAAGCTTAGAACTTAAAACCCTAGAAAAACCATGAAACTTGTACTCCCATGACCCTTCGTTATATAAGGCTGGGCATGGGCTCCTGTACACGGGATCGAACCATCAAACAATCGACCAAGACATAACCCTAGATTGAACACTTGGCCCTTGATCGGGACCCTGTCTGAGAGATCAAGCCCAAGAACTCGATTGAGCATTCTTAATGTGAAGAACACCACTGCTAGACGTAGGGCTTAGACGTCTGAACCAGGATAAACCCCTTGTGTTTTGAGTGCTTAAGCCACCGGAGACTCATGCATCAACCCATGTTGAACAACTAGATTACTATGGCAGAACCAAACCCACGGTAGTTGGCATGCCAGGTAGGAGAGCGTCATATGTGATCATCGCTCCTAGGTGGCCCTAGCCACCATCTTCTTCGCCGGAGGCAAAGACATCGCCCTGGGGGCGGCGTGCGCTTCTCCGACGAATCTGTCATCCCATCTGGCCTCAGCTATGGATCCCTGAGGATCTAGGCATACGATGAAGCCCAAGTGGCCAAGCAACACCAGGATGACGTCAACATGCTTGAGGAGATTAGGATATTGTGGTCATACCTCAGTCAAGTATCATGAGGGCTGTGACGCTACCACGACATGCTCGAGGAGATTAATGAATTTTTAGGCATTTGTCTATTGAGTTGTCTCTTGAAAATTAATGGCTATTTTAGGAAACAGAGACACTTTTGACCCGCCTCTATAAATAAAATGAGACGTCTCCTAAATTTTTTTTATAATAGTGTACCATAGATCTAATTGTTGATGTTTTCACACGCAAAGATTAGCAGATAGCTTACCCCTATAAGATCTAGTTTCTATCAAAAATAATGTCAATAGTTCGTTGGAGGTCTAAAGTAACATACTACACGTAAGTCCAAGTCAAGTCACCAACTCACCATCCCGGTCGTGTATGAGGCCACTAAGCTGGTGGTTTCGGACCTAAACACACCTTTAGCAGTACGACCGAATCATGATCTTAGCCCTTTGCTACAACAGAAAATGGACGCTTCATATTGTATAATAATCTGTCCTAGTTGCAAGGTTAAGGGCTTATTATTTAATAAGTGACTAGCCAGTAGCTACCATTCTAATAAATTTATGTAATTAGTTTATTCTTGTCGTCTGATTTTGAATTCTATCAAATTTGTTGATGCTATATATATCTTTAAACCTATTGTAATTTTGTTGTACCGTCAGCCTTTGTGTACGTTGTTTAATTTTCTGAAAGGTTAACACTGACTGATCGAGCTGTTCAAAAGTTCAAATGCGAAATCGAAAATGAATCAAAATACGTAGGTTAATTATACTTCTGTTTTTCATTTGTCTTATTGGATTATTTCAGCTTCGTAGCACATATAGAGAATATTTGTAGGAACAGTTAGAATAAACTAGTAGGGACAACTGCACACCCCGGCCTACTCTTGAAATCAATTTGTAGAGATGGTTGCCAAACACTCCCGCACTAGAAATCATTTTTCAGGGATTATAAAACAGATGTAAATAAATATAGTAATCCTCTTTCACAAGTAGTGCAATTTTTCACGCATGTGTTCATTCGATCTCAGACTTCTGATTACCTCGTGCTTACACCGTGTATAGGACGATGCTATGATTTTGTATGGAGTTTTACAAATATTGCGTCTAATATTTTGGCCCTAGACAATGTCAATTGGAAAAAAGTTTTAATTTTTAAGTTTTAGATCTCATCAAGCACTACTACAACTTTATAGAAGGATGTCTCCACCTGAGTTTGAAAAATCTAAAAGTTTGAATTTGAAAATCTGACAAAGCTCTAGACCGACCTCTCTCAAGTCAAATCATGATCTTGGAGACATATACAAAGGACGACTGACTGGCAAAGCTCAAAGCTAAAGGCTGCGTGATGAAGCACAATTACAACATGGATGCGTGGCTAGCCGCTGATAAACACAGCAACCAAATTGTGAGCACTACTGATCTTCTCTCTGGTAGTGGAAGATATAAAGTATGTTTGCACCATAAATCAGTCAGCAAGTCAAGTCACCGCGTGCCTGTCGTTATTTTTGCTTTCATGGACGACGAAATTAACGTAACTTAGTTCGTCTTCGTCCTTGGCGTACGTCGTGCTAGTTAATTTAATTTCACTGGAGAAACTGTGTGTGGCATGCCCTATTTATGGTGAGGAACGTAACTGACGAGGATGACATGGGTCGTGCTTCCGATCCATATAAGCAGGCACACATGAAGACGAATGTAGCAGTGGCTAAAACAGTTGTAGCACCTGCTGCTGTAGTCGCGACGCTGCTGCTGATGCTCCCGCCATTTGCTGGCGGCGGCGCCGCACTTGCTGCAACTGCAGCAACAGCCACTGGTCTGGGCAGTAACTGCACAAGGAGGTGCGGCAACATCAGCATCCCTTACCCATTCGGCATCGAGCTCGGCTGCTACCACGACACCGGCTTCAACCTTACCTGCAAGCAGAAGCACTCCCACCGTCAGCCACCCAACAAGCTGTTCCTCGGCGACGGCACCGTGCAGGTGCTGGACATCTCTGTTGAACACAGCACGGTGCGCATCTACAGCCCCGGCGTGCAGTTGCAGTATGATGGCATCAGCACCGGCTGGACATGGGGCCTCGGGCTCCCAGAGACCGGACCGTACTTCCTGTCGGAGTCAGCTAGCATGCTCGAGGCGATGGGGTGCAGCATCCAGGTCAGCGTCCGAGGGGGACTGAATGTCAGCCTGGTGAGTTCTTGCACTGCTATCTGCCCCGTTATTTTGTCCGACGATGGTGGCGCTAGATTTACGGTAGGAAATGGCAGCTGCACTGGCATTGGTTGCTGTCAGGCCAGCATCGTTGTAGGCTACCCTTCCTACAGAATCCAGATTGACCCGGTTTCTTCTGGCACGCTCTCGAACATTCCTGCTTCGGTATTCATAGTCGACCAGAGTTACTTTTTTAATTCGATTGGAGAACAAATAACTGGATCGCTTACGACGGCTACACTAGACTGGATAATTAGTACTTCGACATGTCCTACAAATATGACCGCCCCAGAATGTCTCAGTGACCACAGCTATTGCCAAGATTCCTCTTCCTTGGGCCATGGTGGGTATACATGTCAATGCGCAGATGGTTATCAGGGTAATCCTTATGTTCAAGGTGGATGCCAAGGTACACTACGTAGTGAATCAATCTTTTTTAATTATATTTTCTCAGCCTGAATCTGCATACATCCTTTGGTGCTCCTAACACATACCTTATTTTTTGGCTATAGATATAGACGAGTGCAAATATCCCGACCAATATGTTTGCTATGGTGTTTGCAAGAATACACCTGGAAGTTTTATTTGCCAATGCAACACTGGCTATACAGGCAATGCTTCCATCCCAAATGCATGCACAGGTATAATATGATGGAAATCCTGAATACATTTGGTTATAACTTACGACTACTTGCTCTAGCCTTATTACAAGGCTCGCTATATACATATTAGACACTATAACAAGACCTTAAAACAAAATCCATCTGCTCTAAATTTCCTAGACATTGACGAGTGCAAGCACCAGGAAGCATACTCATGCTACGGGATATGCCAAAATTTCCCTGGAAGTTTTCACTGCCAATGTCCTGAAGGAAGCTCTGGAAATTATTCTACAAAAGGGGGATGCATTACATTCAATAACTCATTTACAGGTACTAAGCAGCCGCTATATGCAATGCAAGCTTAAACTTTCCGATTTCACTCACAGAATTAATATTTTTCATCTTGATATATTTTGTTACTCCGAATCCTGAATGTGTCGTGTCATTAAATATTTTCTTAGGTTTAAGCATCGGGCTGGGAGTCGGTGGTGGAACAATTCTTTTGCTTCTAGCCATTGGTGCTCCCTACATAATGCGTAAAATCAAGCTTCAAAAGGTAAAGAAGATGAAACAAAGATTTTTCAAGCAAAATCATGGGCTGCTATTGCAACAGTTAATATCACGAAGCACAGACATTGGTGAGAGAATGATAATTACCTTACGTGATATAGAGAAGGCAACAAATAATTTTGATAGAGCTCGCATCATTGGTGGTGGAGGGCATGGTGTCGTGTTTAAAGGAATTCTAGATCTACATGTTGTGGCAATCAAGAAGTCAAAGATAGTAGTTCAACGAGAAATCAATGAATTCATAAATGAAGTTGTCGTTCTTTCTCAAGTGAACCATAGAAACGTGGTGAAGCTCTTAGGGTGTTGCCTTGAGACAGAAGTCCCATTGCTAGTTTATGAGTTCATTTCAAATGGAACCCTCTGTCATCATCTTCATGTTGAAGGACCAGTGTCACTACCATGGCACGATCGGATGAGGATAGCAGCCGAGGTTGCCAAAGCGATATCCTATCTGCATGCATCTGCTTCAATGCCCATATTTCACAGAGATATTAAGTCATCCAACGTACTTCTTGATGATGCTTTAACTGCAAAGGTTTCAGATTTTGGAGCTTCTAGATATATCCCAATAGATCAGACAGGAGTGACTACAGCAGTTCAAGGAACGATGGGTTACTTGGATCCAATGTATTATTACAATGGACGATTAACAGACAAAAGTGATGTTTTCAGTTTTGGTGTTCTTCTTGTAGAATTGCTTACTCGAAAGAGACCATATGTGTATAGGTCAGTTGATGATGATGGTCTTGTTTCACATTTTGTTTCACTGCTAGTAGAAGGTAAACTGGTTGACATAATTGATCATCAAGTTATGGAGGAGGAAGGTGGAGAAATCGAAGAAGTAGCCACGCTAGCAGCAATGTGCACAAAATTGAAGGGAGAAGATAGGCCTACAATGAGGGAAGTGGAGATGGCCCTTGAATGCCTGCTAGTTAAGAAGAGGCAAGTTCAATATAATGGAACACGACAAACAAATAGTGGGGAAATTGCCGGTCCTTACATGTCAACTGACCGAGGAACTAAGGAAGCTAGCAGGCAATACACCATGGAGGAGGAAATGTTGTTATCAGCGAGCTTTCCCAGGTGAATTTTTATCGCTGTATTGAACAAGTGCACAATTCATGTACTCATTTATCTATTGTTTCATAACATTGCGAGACGACAAACAAGTGTCACTTCTATTTGTTCTCATAAGTAATTGATGAAATACATCTGTTTACTTTAGTCCCGCATATTGACATTTATAAATAATGTAAAGCTTATTTTTTGTGCTTGTTTTTGCAAGCTGAACATGAGTTCTTTTTCCTATTTTTGCATGTTTCCTTGTTCATTGAAGAATTTTGGGTTTGTCTCTGCATTCTCAAGATGATGCAACCTAATTGTTCTGTGTATTCATGTTTCTGTGTATCTTATATTATTTTTAGATAATAGAATTGTTTCCAAACTCTACTACTTTTTTGTGCATATGACAAAAAACAATGTACAATCATAGTTTGGATCGTTAAAAGTTGGCATCGACAAGAATAATCTAAAATGTCGGAAAGAAATTTAACTTGCCTGGACGACAGGCCACTTGCCCATTTTTCTCATCATGATTTGAAATATGGTGGGGGGGGGGGGAGGACCTAAATAAGTTAATACAAGAGGTAACCTTACTTCAAGGATCTCCGGTGACACAGATCCATTTGTCTAATGGAGAAAGTGAAACTAAAATGAAGGCAAACGCATTAGTATTTTGCTATCTGAGTTATCTAAAACTGTGGTAACTCATATTTCCACAATCACCTTCGTCCATGATCGTTGTCCATTGCCCATTGCGATGAGTGGTTTCATGTCACTATTGAAAAACGAGGGAAAGCATAGCACTCTCTTGTTGGATCTGTGTCACCAAAGCAAGCGTTATAGTAAAGCTCGAACAATCTAGCAGTGATCCAGAACCCTTAGAATGACCCTCTCTTCCCTCTACACTTGTATCCCCTATCCCTTTTTTGGTCGTTCTTGATTCTTATCTAGTACACACACGTTCCATGTGGATTCGATACCTTGGAATACTCTAGGGTCAAAGCTACAGTGGTATCCGTACGCTTGCAGATTTATCTATGGTTGTTAGGATTACCAACAAGCTTTCTTGCGTTATTGCTAGGGAATAGTTGTACTAGTTTCGGACCGAGTTTGTCTGTTTTCTTTTTCTTTCAAACACCTACCGGAAGGCAACCCAAAGTTATCTTTTCCTTTACCCTTACAACTGCTTTTTTGTTTTGAATCATCAAATTTCTAGTGCTTTATTGGGTGGCTCCTAGACTCTGAATTGTATTCGGTCATTCTGCCTAGTCTAGGTAGATGGCAAACTTCTTTGTTATCTATCTATTCAACATTTTTATTCTAGCTTTGTAGTAGACATATGTTAAACAGGACCAATGGACCCACATTGAAGGGACCATGACGCCTAAGACTAGGGGAGTGTGAATTAGGCAACTTAAAATCTACTTCCAAAACTATGGTCTCTAATTTCCTAGGTGTATTGCTATCTCTAACGCAAAAGAGTTATGCAACCTAGGCTACAATCCTATGAACTAGCCTATCAAATTAATCTAGTAAGGTAAAGCACACAATCCTAAGTACATAAAATAAACGCAGAAGCTTAAGGGTGGTAGAGTGCAAACTCACATCGACAACTCTTGTATTTTTACCTAGGTATCAAGAAGCTCTTCGCTTCCACTTAGTCCTCGTTGGAGCCCCTCGCAAGGATGCCCTCGCAGGGGCCAAACTCCTGGTCAGGTAACTCCATGGATCGCCCTTGGGCCTTCCCCATGCGCAAGTGGATCTCCAAGATGGCCTCTCCACGAACCACTCCCCGCCATCTTCACTATCAAGTTTCTGGACAAAATGTCATGGGCATTGTTCCCTTGTATATATACACGATGACGACCACACCACAAACGCTGTTGGTGTAAGTCTCTCAGGACTATAGGCCCCTTCGAGCATAACAATGGTGCACGCAACACCGAGTAAGCAAGACGTATGCAAACCTCACTAACACTAGGCCTAAACCAAGAGAAAGCGCTTTTAGCCATGGTCTAACTAGCCTAAGCACCTACACTAATCACCGAGTGATTCTTTAAGCACTATGTGTAGCATGAGCCACTAATCTTTCTTTGTTCCTCACTATAATGTCATCTTCATTTTGCTTGTTTCTAAATACCCATTTGGTATCAATGACATTGTAGTTCTTTTGCCTCTCAACTAGCTCCCAAACTTGATTTCTTGTGAAATTGTTGAGGTTTGGGTGCTGATCTTCCAACGCCTGGGTCTGATACACCTAGCTCCTGAATCTTTCGAGACCTGTTTCTTTGGATGGTGGAGGAAAACATTCTTGGCTGTACCAAAAGAGATGCGTAAGGGCCTTAATTCTCTGATAATCCTGGTCGCTTGGGAGATTTGGAAACACAGGAATGATTGTGTGTTTGAAAAGGTCAGGCCGAACACTCAGGAGGTTCTTAGGGCTATAAACACTGAGTGCCGCCTATGGTGCATGGCTGGGGCTTCCAAGCTCCAAGAGCTAGTGCGCTCTGTTTGGTCACCTCTTCCCGATTCTGGCGCAGCCTGAGTATAATGGCTGCTGAGGTGTTGGTGTGTGTTTTGTAACTGGGTAGGGGCTACCCAAACCTGTTTTTTCTTCTACCTTAATGAAATGACGCGCATCTCTCCTGCGTAGTTCGAGAAATTGTTGAGCTCTTCATGCATAGCATTGACCCAATCAACATCCTTCAAAGCTTCATCGATCTTAGTTGGTTCACTGGGAGACACAAATGAATAGTGCTCACAAAAGGATACAAGCCTTGATCTTGTTTGAACACCACTTCTTAAATCACCAATGATTTGATCCAATAGATGGTCCATTGCAATTGCTGGATGGATATCCGGTTGGACAATTTGCACTTGATTGCTTGAGCTTGGTGATAACTTGGTTGAATCGCTTGAGTTGGACTAGCCACTTGTTGATCTTGTGCTTGCTGAACTTGATCTTAATCATGAGAACCGCTAGTGCTAGGTTGATCATGATTTTAGAGTCATGTGTTACTTCATGTTATATTTAGAAAATAGAATAGATACAATAGCTATATTATAAATGGTGATTAAGTTATTATTATATCAAACTGGTGGTCAAATGTTTCAATTTTTTGTGAAATTTCTAAGATCTATCATTTGTTTTTCTTATCGTGTCTCATGAGGATTAATGTGGATGCTCCATTAGGCAGCTTTAGTTAGAACTTCTAGTATTTATATACAAACTCTTGTTGCATCCTTTTTTTTGTGACTTCATGAATCTATAGCTTACCTTTTAACTTTTAATCAAGTTGTTATAACTTTTTTTAAATGTTAAGTAGAAACTCTAGCATTATTTTATCTTTTATTCAATTTTAATTATTAAAAGGAGTTTAGATTCTAGTAATATTGTTTTCCACGTGTTAAGTTGTAACTCAGCTTGCACCTAGGTACTGAACATGTTAAATTTGTTATGTCACAGGATTATATATGTGTAGTATTGTTTTATATATGATAAAGTGATTAAAATTAAATTACCAATGTTAATATGATATAATGTTTCAGTCAAAATTTATGAAGTTATTTAAAATAACAACTTCTCTATCATGGGGCGAAGAACGGGGAACGGTGGTGACTGGTTAGGGCACGAGACCGTTAGGCGAGCACTGCGTGGCGTCGATGGCCAGGACGGGCCACGAGAGGTGCAAACCGCCAAGCCAGGGCCCAGGATGTAGAGCAGCTCACGAGCCTCTCATTTTTTTTAACAATCCTGATTATTTGCAAAGTAGTCCTTCCGTCTATCTCATCCGCGCAGTCAGCCTTTTGCCCCGGCGACGGCGGCCTCACCGGAGAGCCGATGGAGGCCGCGGTGCTGCTCCATTACAGTACCAAATGGATGCGGCTCCTGAGCACTGCGTCGCATCCGCGGTAGCCGACAGTGGCGAGAGCAGCCGGCAAATGGAGGCGGCTCCTGAGGAGTGGGGACACGCAGCGATTCAGGAAGGCATGCCTGGGGGCTCCTTGCTGTCGTGCCTGGAACTCTATCTGGCGAGTCAGTCCGCCGAGGATCTGGGCTGGGGGCAGCGAGGCTGTCACCGAGCAGCGTACATCGCCACCGCCATGGCACCATCCTGCCATCTGCCGGAACTCGGAACTCGTTGGGTAAGAAGGTTTCGTTGTTTGCCCGCATTTTTCTCCAACATGGTTTGACATTTTTCTATAACATAACAAATAGCCTGGGCAGTCCCGTCACCTCTCATTACTCCTATATAAATCTGGAGCAAAACCTTTTGCTATAAAAAATGTTTTTTATTTTAGTGCAATGTTCCAAGTGAGACACTTTTCCACTTTTGTTTTGTTATGACTCTTACAATTCCTAGTCATATGTGCTTCCTTTAATCCTTTGTTGACCAGAAACTGGAACATGCTGAAAAGTATAACCTAAGCTGGGTAATAAATCTATAGTGGCCCCATCGCGCTTTGGAATCCTTCAAATGCCATCATTTTAATGTCTGTTGATTGTGCAATTCTAATCTGCCCTCATCTTTTAAATTGAGCACTATCATATATGAAAAGTAGAGTATATTGTTCTAATCAGGGGGTTAGGTGGTAGAAGATGAGACATGGGCTGTCTTCCTCTCCGGAGAGAAGGTAGTATTCTAAGTTTTGTGGGTGGTCAGTACAACACAAATTTCCATGCCAGGCCAAGTCAATGTAGCCATGTCGATGTTTTCCCAATTCCATGTAAATTTCACGCGGTGGGTAGGGCATATACTTGGCAAGAAATGAATAATGTTTGATAGCTTGGAGAATGGAGATCATAGGAAATTCATGATCATCAGTTCATCAGAATCAGTTTATGAATATCTCAGCAGTTGGATGTATGGAGAAGTTAGCGAGTAGGAGAGTTGTATTTATGGTGGCTGTGGGTGCAGCAGTGCTGCTGCAGCTGTTGCATTCAGGTGAAGTGGGGCAAGAAATAGCTAATTGCAGCACTCACTGTGGCAATATCAGCATCTCCTACCCCTTTGGAATTGAGCC